TTCTTCAGGACTTGAGCAATAATGGTTCTCCACAACGTTTTATCCCTTATTAGTCTTAGAAAAGTGTGTCTCTTATGAATCTATTTTCGGGGTGTATGATGAACTTTGTTTGGCCTTGAAAAATATTGCGTCAGATTTTTATCACGCCTACACACTTTCGGCTTTCGATTAGGTGTCCTACGGCCATTGTCTGCGATGGACGTTACTCCAAGGAATCGTACGAAATTTGAAACGTTGCACGAACACACTGGCAAACCTTACCACTGCGTAAATCAAAGTACTATTGACTGTCCCGGAAGCTCTCCTGGTTTAAATCCAAACGGGAATCTGTTGTCAATCTGCAAGTAACGGCTTCGAGGAATGTACATACGAAGTACTAACATGTGCACTGGCGCATGTTTCATTGGAAAAATACGAAAATAAAGTAAATGATAACGGAATTATTCGTTTTGTTTCAAATAATTTACACAAGGACGTACTTCTAGTACGGTACGACCTTTCTTCTTGCTTTGCTATACTATGTTTTCTTGACCGTCTTTTAATTTTCTGTCTGTGTTTACCATCAACACGGTGATATTTGTGTATCTTATATTGTTAAAGGCAGGCCCTCCAGATAACAAATCCCGGCTTCTTTGATATAGACTAGCTAGCAACATTTAGATGAAGAAAGCACAGAAAGAATTTAGAAATTAAAAGTAAAAAAATTTCGTTCATGATTACGAGAAGTAACTGAAACAGTTATTGATCTAGAATCATATGTTGTATCTGTGGGTCTGCGAAATAACCATTGCGAACACCTGTCCCACTGATATGGTTTTGACTGATTTGAATCTATTTTTTAGTCACATTTAGTGAAGTCACTAATGTGTGTCCTTGTCTGATCTCTCTTTTCGCGCCATTGACATTTGATTGTTTCTATGGCTTCTAGTTATTTTTTATTGCATGCCAGAAAGAAGACAGAAGAGGAAATTATTGAGCAAGAAATACAGGGAATATATGATTAGAGATTTCGAAATAGAAAAGAAAAAGTGAAAGAAGACAGAGAAGTGATAGACAGGAATTTATGAATAGATAAGAGGGAGTGAAAAGAGGAGATAAAAAATAGCAAGGGATTCGAAAATAGAGATGGAGACGTGACCTTGAAAAAGAAAGAGAAAGGATAGCTATGAATTTAGAAATAGAGAAAACTCAGATTGGTAAAATAGAGAAGAGGACGTTAGAATGAAAAGGAATAAGAAAGAATATTTAGGAATTTATAAACAGACAACAAGAAGTGATAGTGAGAAATGTAGGGAAAGAATGGTTCAGGATTTAGAATTACAAAATTGCAAGTGTGAGAGAGAAATGGAGAAAAAGAAGAGTTAAGAATTTAGAAAAAGAGAAGAAGAAGTACAAGTGAGAAAGAATGGATTTAGGAATAGAAAGAATAGTTGGAGAGAAACAGTGATTTATGAACTAGAGAAGCACAAAGGAAAGTGAAAAATGGAGAGAAAGGATAGCTAGGGATGAAGAAATAGAGAAAAGTAAGTCCAAGTGAGAAATGGAGAAAAGAGAGTTAGAAAAGTGCAGAAATGTGGCAGTGCAAATGAGAAAAGGAGGAAAAGGATAGTTATAGAGAAAAGAGAAGGGTAAATGCAAGTGAGAAAGAGAAAATGATTCGAGATTGAAAATACAGAAATTAATGAAAGTAAATAGAAACCATAGGGATTTAAGAAATGGAGAGAAGTAAGGGATTTAGTAAGAAAAGGGAAATGGAGAGAAAAGACAGTGGAAGAGAGAAAGGGATTTATGAAAAGAGAAATAGAAATGGAGAGTAAGTATAGTTAAATGAAGGGAAATGGAGAGAAAATAGAGAGTTAAGTGATTAATGATAGAAAGTAAAGAGGTGCAAGTAGAAATGGAGAGAGGTATAGTTAAAGGGTAAATAGAGAAGGGAAAGGAGAAGTGACAGTGGAAGGACGAAATGATAGTGATAAAGTGTGGATGAGAGAAAAAGAGGAAGGGTAAATGAGAAGTGAATGAAGAATAGAGAAGTGACAGAAACAATGATAGTGATTTATTAATTGATAGTTAATATATTAAAAGTGCAAGTGTTAAATAGAAAACCGTTTAATTAAGAGAAGTGACAGTGAAGTGAGAAATGGAGAGCAATTAGTGATTTATGAATAGAAAGAGGATAGAAATGAGAGAAGTTAAGGGTGAGAGAAGGGAAATGCTAGTGTTAAATGAGAAAACCATGATAATGTTAAGGATTTTTACAAATAGAAATGGACAGTAAGATAGTTAAAAGGGTAGAGAAGGGAAATGGAAATGAGAAACCGTAATGATAGAGATTTATGAATAGTAAAATGGAGAGGTGCATTTATGAATAGAAATGGTGCAAGTAGAAATGGAGAGGTATAGTTAAGGGTATATTAATAGAGAAGGGAAATGCAAGTGTTAAATAGAGAGAAACCGTAGTTAATGATACGAATAGAGAAGTGACAGTGGAAGTGAGAAATGGAGAGCAATGATAGTGATTTATGAATAGTAAAGAGGTGCAAGTAGAAATGGAGAGTAAGTATAGTTAAGAGAAGGGAAATATTAATAGAGAGAAACCGGTTAAATGAATAGAGAAGGACAGTGGAAGTGAGAAATGGAGAGTGATAAATAAAAGTAAAGAGGTGCAAAGAAATGGAGAGTAAGTATAGTTAATATATTAATAGAGAAGGAAATGCACGAAATAGAGAAAACCGTGACAGAATGAAAGTGAGAAATGGAGAGCAATGATAGTGATTTATGAATAGTAAAGAGGTGCAAGTAGAAATGGAGAGTAAGTATAGTTAAGGGTATATTAATAGAGAAGGGAAATGCAAGTGTTAAATAGAGAGAAACCGTAGTTAATGATACGAATAGAGAAGTGACAGAAGTGAGAGCAATGATGGATTTATGAATAGTAAAGAAATGGAGAGTAAGTATAGTTAAGGGTATATTAATAGATAGTGAAATTTATGAATAGTAAAGAGAGCAATGATAGTGATTTATGAAATGGAGAGAAATGGAGAAGTAAGTATAGTTATATATTAATAGAGAAGGGAAATGCAAGTTTAAATAGGAGAAACCGTATATTAAATAGAGAAGTGACAGGGAAGTGAGAAATGAGAGCAATGATAGTGTTTAAAATAGAGAGAAACCGTAGTTAATGATACGAATAGAGAAATAGAGAAGGAAGTGACAACCGTGGAAGAATACGAATAGAAATGGAGAGTGATGATAGTGATTTATGAATAGTAAAGAGGTGCAAGTAGAAATGGAGAGTAAGATATAGTTAAGGGTATATTAATAGAGAAGGGAAATGCAAGTGTTAAATAGAGAGAAACCGTAGTTAATGATACGAATAGAGAAGTGACAGTGGAAGTGAGAAATGGAGAGCAATGATAGTGATTTATGAATAGTAAAGAGGTGCAAGTAGAAATGGAGAGTAAGTATAGTTAAGGGTATATTAATAGAGAAGGGAAATGCAAGTTAAATAGAGAGAAACCGTAGTTATGGGTATAAGTAATAGATTTATGAATAGGAAAGGAAGTAGAAATTAAATAGAGAATAAGAAGGGAAATGGTAGTTAAATAGAGACGTATTAATGATACGAATAGAAAGTGAAAGAAATGGAAGCAATGATAAGATTTATGAATAGAAAGCAATGATAGTGATTTATGAATAGTAAATAGAGAGAAACCCCGTGAGTTAATGATACGAATAGAACAGTGGAAGTGAGAAATGGAAATGATAGTGATTTATGAATAGTAAAGAGGTAGTTAAGGGTATATATAATAGAGAAGGGAAATGCAAGTGTTAAATAGAGAGAAACCGTAGTTAATGATACGAATAGAGAAGAAATGACAGTTTATGAATAGTGAGAATGGAGAGCAATGATAGTGATTTATGAATAGTAAAGAGGTGCATTTATGAATAGAAATGGAAGAAGTAGAAATGGAGAGTAAGTATAGTTAAGGGTATATTAATAGAGAAGGGAAATGCAAGTGTTAAATAGAGAGAAACCGTAGTTAATGATACGAATAGAGAAGTGACAGTGGAAGTGAGAAATGGAGAGCAATGATAGTGATTTATGAATAGTAAGAAACCGTAGGATGCAAGTAGAAATGGAAGTAAAATGGAGAGTATAGTTAAGGGTATATTAATAGAGAAGGGAAATGCAAGTGTTAAATAGAGAAACCGTAGTTAATGATACGAATAGAGAAGTGACAGTGGAAATAGTTAATGATACGAATAGAAGAAAATGGAGAGCAATGATAGTGATTTATGAATAGTAAAGAGGTGCAAGTAGTAAAAGTGGAGAGTAAGTATAGTTAAGGGTATATTAATAGAGAAGGGAAATGCAAGTGTTAAATAGAGAGAAACCGTAGTTAATGATACGAATAGAGACAGTGGAAGTGAGAAATGGAAGTGATAAATGGAAAGAGGCAATGATAGTGATTTTATGAATAGTAAATAGAGGTTAATGATACAAATAGAAATGGAGAGGTGCAAGTAGAAATGGAGAGTAAGTATAGTTAAGGGTATATTAATAGAGAAGGGAAATGCAAGTGTTAAATAGAGAGAAACCGTAGTTAATGATACGAATAGAGAAGTGACAGTGGAAGTGAGAAATGGAGAGCAATGATAGTGATTTATGAATAGTAAAGAGGTGCAAGTAAAATGGAGAGGGAAGTTAAGATATTAATAGAGAAGGGAAATGCAAGTGTTAAATAGAGAGAAACCGTAGTTAATGATACGAATAGAGAAGTGACAGTGGAAGTGAGAAATGGAGAGCAATGATAGTGATTTATGAATAGTAAAGAGGTGCAAGTAGAAATGGAGAGTAAGTATAGTTAAGGGTATATTAATAGAGAAGGGAAATGCAAGTGTTAAATAGAGAGAAACCGTAGTTAATGATACGAATAGAGAAGTGACAGTGGAAGTGAGAAATGGAGAGCAATGATAGTGATTTATGAATAGTATAATTAAGAGGAGAAGGAAAATGCAAGTGTTAAATAGAGAAAACCGTGGATGAATAGAGAAGTGACAGGGAAGGAGTTAGAGCAATGATAGTGATTTATGAATAGAAGATAGTAAGTATAGTTAAGGGTAAAAAATAGAGAGAAACCGTAGTTAATGAAAATGGAATGATAATTTTTATGAATAGTAAAGAGAAAGTAGAAATGGAGAGTAGAGATATTAATAGAAATGCAAGTGTTAAATAGAGAGAAACCGTAGTTAATGATACGAATAGAGAAGGACAGTGGAAGAGAAATGGAGAGCAATGATAGTGATTTATGAATAGTGAGGGGTATGAAGTGCAAGAGAGAATGGATACGAATAGAGAAGTGACAGTGGAAGTGAGAAATGGAGAGCAATGATAGAGATTTATGAATAGTGAGGAGGAAGTGCAAGAGAGAAATGGATGTAAGTATAGTTAGAGATTTATTAATAGATAAGGGGAAGCGCTAGTGTAAAATAGAAACCATAGTTAAGGATTTACGAATAGAGAAAAGACAGTGGAAGAGAGAAATAGAGAGCAATGATAGTGAATGGAGAGAAATATGTAGTGGTGTAAGAATACAGATGTGTTATTGGATGAGAAATATAGAGAGAAAGAATAGCTAGGGATTTGGGAATAAAGAAGGGGAAGTGCAATGAGAAATTGAGAGAAAGCATAGAGAATTCTACGAATAGAGAAGAGTAAGTGCAAGTGAAAAATGGAGAGAAGTGATAATTAGGGATTTAGAAATATGGAAGTGTAAGTCAAATTTGAAATGGAGAGAAAGATATTTATGGATTTACGAAAAGGGAAGAAGAAGTGCAGTAAAAAATAAAGAGAAAGTATAGTAAGTATTTTAGAAGTAGTGAAGAGGAAGTGAGAGTGAGGAATAGTTGGAAGTATACTTAGGAATTTACAAACAGAAAACAGGCATGGAAAGTTTGTTTAAGGATTTTAGAAAAGTAGCAAGTACCGATATGATCCCCCTCACTGAGACAGACGCAGAGAGAGAGAGAGAGAGAGAGAGAGAGAGAGAGAAACGCATTCATTCCACCGAAAGAAAAGAAAAAGAAAAAAAGAGAAAAAATATTTCCTTTTCCTAGTTCTCACTTTTTTTTTCTTTTTCCATCCTTGACCCTCCACCTATATGAGTTACACACACGCACACACATATCAATGCCGCCAAACACACACACCAACACACACATCTAATAATAAAAATAAAAATAAACTGGTTGGCATCTCGGTCCCACCTTTTCACCGCCTCTTCTATTCCAAAAGCTGATTTTCTCGCACTTCCCGATAGCGGAACCCCCTTCCTCTTACTTGCTTCACTGATAGCTACAATCTTCAAATATTAAATGCAATGCCAATCGACATCATCTCAGGCCTTGATCCTGATCCCCGTCCTTGTCTATATCCTTTCTTCAAAGATTTTTCTTTACTCTTGCTCTCAATCTCTGTAATAGCGTGATAGTGGCACTCCCGCCTTGCTTGGGGTGAAATGATTAAAAAAGATAGGGAGAATACTAAATTTTAATTATGTAGTGAAAGGGAGTATAAATAAGTTTCTTAAGAATTTAGTGGCAGAGAAATGGAAATCTTATAGTTGATTTACACAGAGGATGTGATGAGAAAGTTATAGATTTAAAGAGAATGAAAAAAGGGAAGAATTTATAGAGAGAGGTTGAAAAATAAGATGGTCAAGGAGAGGGAAAGAGAGAAAGAAACCTAGAAAGGGGAGAAAGTAATAATGGTAGTTACATATTTATAAAGATGTTTACGGTCATATCACGTAAAAACAACGGTTCGTGTATGATCACCGTAGTTGTGTAACTTCGAGCATTGTCATTAGCTCGTTTGGGTGAACGCTTGAGAATAGCAGGTGCTGTAAACCTGTATGTGCGGGTGGTGTAATGGATAAAGGCTCGAAATTCCTAATCGGACTCCCGAGTTCCAATTCCCGAAGAGTTCGTTATATTCACTTACGCTCTTTTCGTAAAATACGTCTATTGGATGCTTTAGTACACATCATCAGTGATGTTTCTAGCCGAGGTTCATTAGGAGTTTCGGGTCTTTCAACATCATAGCCCACCTCTCCACCGTGACCCAGCCGATACTGATCAAGGAATCGATCAAGTGTACCTTCTGTTAGCTATAACCATTTCCATCTTCCAAATTACACACCACGTGATGACTCTTGGCAATTTATTGTCCAATCCTGGATGACTTTCAGTTCACCAGCAATGTTCGCTCTTCCATAAAAAAGGGAAGTAAACGCAGCCACAATTTCTGTCTGATCAGGAACATGACGGCGTTCTTGGCTTGAAGTGTCAAGTACAGATTTGATTCCCTTCACTGAGACAAACAGATATATATATATATATATATATATATATATATATATATATATATATAGAGAGAGAGAGAGAGAGAGAGAGAGAGAGTAAGACTCATTCACTCATGTTAATTTTCCACCGAAAGAAAAGAAAAAGAAAAAAGAGAAAAATTATTTCCTTTTCCTACTTCCCACTTTTTTCTTTTTCCATCCTTGACCCTCCACCTATAGGAGTTACACACACGCACAAACATATCAATGCCGCCAAACACACACACCAACATACACACATCTAAAAATTAAAATAATAAAAACAAAAAATAAATGCTGTAACCCTGTTGAGGGGAAACAGCTGCTAGATTTTAGACAGGAATCACCTGTAGGTAACAATGGTTCAGGGTACCCTAATTCTGTCTCCTAATCGAGACTCCATTGATGGGTGTAGTTTTAGGTCATACCTAAAACCTCCCCGCAAAAAATATATATGTATATATAAACCGCAACTTCCTTTCATTTACTTACTGATTGCCAATCGCTTAATCTAGAAGCCTATTCCGCTGCCAATGTTATTGAGCGAATAGGATTGTTTTTTTGCCAAACTTCTTACACCTAATTTTGGCAACATCTTATATAGTGACCGCCCAGTAAAGCCTCTACAACCGATTTCAATCGCACTGCGCTCGCCAACCGAGTCGTTTTCTTGTACAATCAGTAAATATATTCAAGCTTCCTTAAATGGGCTTTGTCCATATTTACTTCCCAATGAATTGTTAATTCTAACATCGTGACTTGCTTGATCTTTTCAGAAAAAAAAATAATCATGTCTGGACGAAGCTTAGTTTGTATTATTTCCACTGGAAATTTAAGCTGCTTGCCTATATCTACTCTCAAATGCCAGTGCGGGGCGAAGCTGAGGAGGGATATTTTCTTCTTCTGCGATGTCTTTACTTTTTGCCCGGCTCTGACAAAATTCGGCGTCTTCTTATTCGGTTCATATCTATTTTGTTTTAGACTCGTTAATACTATTGTTGCAAGGACTCCTAAAACTTTATCCACCTGTACCTCCCCTCCCGAAGGGCCTTGGGGAAACCGTTCACTATGTGTTGGAGGGATCCTCTCTTTCTGGCACAATGGATAAAGTGGAGACTCACTCTTTCCCCACGTGTGGAGGTTTGCCGGACTGGGCAGTGTATCATACACTGCCTGCACAAGGAAGCTTGTACTACTGGTATTGGTATACCAGAGGTCTGACCAGGAAATCTTCCTTTTTTTCCAAGTTCCCCCATCTCGTCGAGACCCCCTGTTCACCTAAAGCCGCCATTTTACTTGATCTATTTTTCTTCACACCCTCTCTCAGTTCATATTGAAGACAGTGTTTATGATCTTACCTTTTTCTTTCTCAGCCGTGGATTGTAAAAGTAAACTAAGGTCTGATCTACCCACTGCTACTGTTCTTACTAGCGTTTTCTCTCTCAACCTTTGCTCTGATATACTGAGCTCATGTGATGCGTTCCACTTTCACCCAGTTCGAAACTCAATACATGCTTCTGCAACTTTAGGATCTTTTGAATCCTTATATAGGATTCCCTCTCTCGTCTTTGCCGCTTTAAACTCTTCCATTAATCCACTGAAGGGAAGCTGCAATGCGTTAAAACTCCATACAGAGCTGCACTGTTTAAACTCCTCAGTGAACCGAACCATCTTCTCAAATATCCGCTCACTTTCTTCCCCATCTTCTCAACTGTTTATCAATGCCACTTCATATAACATCACTGGCCACAGAATCTTTGGCAGAATGGTAAGTTGGTATATCCATGACTTAAAACGGCCTGGTAGATCTGATTTTTTTTGCAATTTACTCAATATTGCTTCGCGGTCTGAAAATCATTTCTGGGTAACATCAGTATCTTTTAAATTAGTATTGAAAATTTTCCCCAGACATTTGGCTGTTTTTTTTTTTTTTTTTTTTTCGTTTAATGACGGGATAATAGTTCCGGCATTTTTGAAACGGAACTTTTCTATCACAATCCCTCTCTTCAGTACTAATGACCTCGATTTTGTCGGTTCAAAATTCATTCTTGGCCCCGCCATTATCCTCTCTAAACCTTGCAGTATCCACCGAGATCCAGGGATGTCTGTGGGTGTAGTAACTGTCAGGTCATCCATATATGCATGAATTGGTGGTTGCCGTACTCCGTTTCTCATCACTGGACCTCGACACTCAACCTCTGCTGATTTTACTAACATGTTCATCGTTAAAGTAAATATCACTGAGTGCATCCAGTTATAATTCCCCCTTTTTCTAGCCAAAGCCAATCGGAAGATATCAAATCAGTGGTTGTTCTTTTTATATTAAAATCATTATAATAATCTTAACTCCTTACACATATAGGGACGTGGCATCTTCTGAGAGCTTCCTCGATCAATTTGTGTGGAACGGATCCATATGAATTCGCTAGGTCGAGCCACAGTACGACTAGATCGCCTTCCCCTTCTTTTGCTTCTCTTACGAGCTGCGTCACGCGAATATACTCCAGATAACCTGGGATGCTGACAATCCCTCTATCTATATAAATCTTTGCACCTAGATAATTCCTAAGTCGTTGGGACAAGATGCTGATCTCAGTGTCCAGCAAAGAAATCATTCTAAACTGTTCAATTGCTTTTGAATATTCTTCTTCAGGAATCCATACTGCATTAATGAGCCTCCATTGTTTTGCAAAATTTACCTCTTCTCCAAATTATTTTTAATAACTTCCAGATATGTAGAAACTGAAGCGAACGCCGTTGTGTCCTGGGGCCGAAGCTGATGTAGCTGCCGATATGACCTTCTTTAGTTGTTTCAAGGTCGGTGCCCTCAAGTCGAAACGTATTTCTGGTGGTTCAGGTGAACTATTGCATCGTTTTCGCCTAGATTATTTCCTCTCTCTTGGTCACTGAGTTTTTCTCGTAGGAACGAATTTATTTCTTCCACTTTACATTCAAGATTACATTTCACTTATCTCCGTTTTCTGTGACTCTCTGCTTTATGAAGAGTTTTTTCTTCAATATATCTCGGAGTTCCAAAAGAGGCATATTTTCCATCGAATTTCCTTGTTTCCATATTTTCTCTTTAGAGATTTTAGCTCGTCTCTCAACTGGTGAATTTTCTTTTCTCGGTGGTTATTTCTGTGTTCTTTCGTGTTTCATTTGAACATAACCGAATCTCTCTGACGCGTAACTAATGATGATAGTCGTAATTGTATATAATCTAGTATTTGCATCCCCTTTCGATATTGTTCTTAAAATATCACTCACATCCTGGTTCAACTGTTGCCATTCTTCCTTCTGCTGGGCAGTGGGCCATTTAATCCGCTTTATGGTTACTCTCTTTGGATTTTGAGAGACCAGCACGTCCAGGGTCTCCACTCTGCTGTGTATAATGGCCATGCTCCACTTTCTCTCACCAGGGAAATTCTCTCTCTTTCTCTCTCCCCCCCCCCGAACATTTCATCCTGGATTTCACTTTCGTCATCCGGGTATAATCCTTGGTCGAAAGCCCTTCATCCCTTCTGATAAAGATCTCATTCTACCCACCCTCTTAGGATCCCCTGGGGTATGCATTTACTGTAAAAATCGTAGCCAACAATAGTTTGTTCCTGGTGGAAAATGCAAGTAGGGGTTCTAACCCAGCTTGTCCATACAACTATCTTTCCGAGCTGTCAACT